CTTCACAGGGGGGGGGGGTACATCTAGGTGTACCCTGATGTGAATAAGCCCCCTGCCCGCACCCCCACAACCAACACCACAGGGCGCTTGTGGGGAAAAGGCCCTGGTCCCCATCGGGTACGGGACAAGGCGCTTTTCCAGGGGGAGAAAAGACTTTGCGCCCACATAAGCTGTGAAAGGACTTCAATATGTCCCGCCTCTTAGCCAAGTTACTTACTATTTTCTGGTGTTTTAGAATGATCTTTGTGAGGCATTCTTGGTGGCGTTACAGGTCCAGTGTCTCCCTCCATTTGACTTTTTGTTGGTGTCTGTGTAACAGATGATGGTGTACATGGTTGGTCTGGTGACTGTACATTTTTTGGTGTTGGTAGAAGGGCTGGTTTACGAGGCCATGATTTTTAAAGCCTGAGGAAGACTACGCTAAACATATAGGGTTCATTTCAGTGCTGACCGGGATGACCAGAAGGTCTGAGGGCAAATCTACAATGCTAAGACAGCTAAACAAATTCTCCTCCTACTACTCCTACTGCACAGGGAATCTGTGACTAGAGACATTGATCCTGAAGACTCCTCTTCTTGACTGGAAATGTCACAAGGAGGGTACAGGGTCAGTGTCCTTACCAAACAGTGATGGATATGTGTTTTCTTCTCATGCACGCAGATTTACTATGTATAAAATGTATCAACAGCCCCACAAACAGGGCCCCTTCCTCCCTCAGGCCCCATAGAAGCCAACAGGGAATTTGCAAACATAGTACAAGCAAAATAAACTTGCCCAAGGTTCTAGTCCTTCCACATGTTATCCAAAGCTAAAAAGAATTCAAAAATGTTTGTTTTGTACTTTAAAGAGGATTTATAACTTTCTGTGATTTAATATGTCCCGCCTCTTATCCAAGTTACTTACTATTCTCTGGTGTTTTAGAATTATCTTTAGGAGAAATTATTGGTGGGGTTAAAGGTCCAGTGTTTTCCTCCACTTCTCTTTTTGTTGGTGTCTGTGTAACAGATGACGGGGTACATGATTGGTCAGGTGACTGTACATTTTCTGGTGTTGGTAGAAGGGGTTCCTCGGGAGATCCAGAATCGTTGCCGGCAGTTTCCTGTGTATACGAGTTCAGTTTGTCTAGAGAATGTTTTCTAGTTGCTGACGGATGAGATGAGTTTTCTTCATTCTCTAAAAAAAATCAATAAAGTGCTGCCAGTGTTTTAAACCTAATTTCATGTTATAAACACAAAACTGAAATAGAAATACTTTATCGCAAAGGTCCATTATTAAATCATTTGCATAGTTATTCCTCCAACAAATTCATCCGTTCTGTGCAAATTAACCAGCATTTGCTTATTCCTTTTAAGGATATTTGGCACATATATAACATGTGCGAATGGAGAATGAAAGTTCTCAGGATATTTTTCTCTTAGGATTGAATGTTTTTGGAATATGTTGCTTCTGTTGATGCCTAATATTCATCAGAGACACCCATACAATGACGTATAATAGTGAACACATTCTAGATACATGCGATTTGAGACCATTGGAACAAACATGCTTCACAAAACTAATGTTACATTTACCCGGCGACTTAAATATCAGGAAATAGCATTTTGCACATAATAAAAACGTTTACAATTATATTTTTTGCAACATTTATGCTAATGCTGATTCACATTGTATTTTTTTCTTTTTATAAATAGACCCAATACAATAGCCTGTACAGAAGCCGGAGGTGGCCGAGCGGCTCAGCTTGACAGAGCTGAAGTGTCAGCCGAAGCAGGGCGAAGGGCCTGCCGAAGGCCGGCCTTTCACCCCACAAATGACAGCTGGGCAGAGCTAGCCGTTTTCTCACTGTTGCCTCTGCCCAGTTGTAATGACAGATCAGCGTCCCCAAATGACCTGGAGACTCTGATCTGTCATTAAACAATGACGCGGTACCTCTGTGGTACTGAGCAGAATAGAAAAACAGTGAAAAAAGTTGGGTAAAAAAAAGCAGAAAAAAATGTTTAAAATGTAAATAAATCATCAAGTTAAAAAAATAAAGATTTTTAAAGAAACAAAAAATAATTTTAAAATAAGAAGAAAACAATTAGCTGTCACTGCTAGCTCCGCCAAACTGTTTCCTATTTGCCGGGACCAGCTGTCACTAGCATTAGAAGACACTAGCAGGTCCTGGCCAATGAATAACAACTGGGCAGAGCCGGACGTGACGTCACGGCCAGCTCCACCAAGTTGTCATTGTTTAATGACAGTTCAGAGCCCCCAGGCAACCTGGGGGCGCTGATCTGTCATTGCAACTGGGTGGAGCCAGCCTAGCTGTCAGTTGCGAGGCTTTCGGCTGGCCAATAGCTGTCCGTTCGCCCCGCTTTGGGTTTCACTTCGGCTCAGCCGAGCCAAAGCATATGCCTTTGGTTCGGCTGAGCCTCTCAGTCAACTTCAGGAGCTGTACTTCCTGAGTACAGCTAGCTAAGGGATCAGCCGGACCTATGGCTGATCCTTCGGCTAGCTTTGTGAATAACAGTTCGGATCCAGAGCGCCTCCAGGTGGCGCTGGAGCTAGCCCTGCAGTTCCAGTGCTCACCTGCAGGTGTCTCCCAGCACTTAGCCATCACCTGGTGCTTCCTGGGAGGGTATTTAAACCCTCCCTGCAGTCAGGACGATGGCTCAGTGTTGTTTCCTGTTTCCCCTGAACCCCTGTTTGAACCTTGTTACCTGTGAGTCCTGAATCCTGTTTTGAACCTTGTTACCTGTGAATATTGAACCCTGTTTGAACCTTGTTACCTGTGACTCCTGAATCCTATTTTGAACCTTGTTACCTGTGAATATTGAACCCTGTTTGAACCTTCTTACCTGTGAATATTGAACCCTGTTTGAACCTTCTTACCTGTGAATATTGAACCCTGTTTGAACCTTTGTTACCTGTGAGTCCTGAATCCTGTTTTGAATCTTGTTACCTGTGAATATTGAACCCTGTTTGAACCTTGTTACCTGTGAGTCTGAACCCTGTTTGAAGTCCTGTTTCATGTGTCTTTTGCTTGCTGTCCTGAGCCTTGTTGTTGGTTGTTGTTATTAGTCTATGGTGTATATTAAACAAACTATACATATCTAACATCCTTGCCTGGTCCGTGTAACATACTTGCCTTATCCGTGTGGTCACACGTGTTTGGTCTGCCTGTGTGGGTACCTGCGCAGGTGTGGGGTCACCTGTGGCGATATTCCTGGCGGTAACCCGCATAATGTTTCGGGGTAGCATTTTGAAACTGAGCTCATTTGAAGAGCTCTGGGTGCTTTATGGTGAGGCCTATGACATGACATCAGGAAGCACCTATGCTAGGGAACTGACACTTTCTGAGGTGCTAATTCCTTAGCAAGCTCAGGGGCAATGTGCAAGTCAATAAAAAATGTTTATGGAAAGGAAAAATGCTGCATGTAAACATTTTAAACTACTTTTTGTTTGCTATTATCTGCAATTTTTATCAAAGTTCATCTGTGACTGGCACAAAGGGTTTTGAAGAATGGAATGTTAATAGTTTGTGGGGGGAAAAATGCCCTGATGTCAGTGGAAGGAAATAAAGATCACCAGAGTTGGTGGGAGATAAAAATGCTCCAGTAATGGTGGTCAGGTGGAGGAAAAAATGCCCCAGTGGCTGACGGGAGACAATGCAAGTGTAAGAGTCCCATAGGTCAAGGATATATTTTCTGGTAGGACAGCTTAACCAGTCAAAGGAAGTTGAAAGATAACAGACTTACTGGCCGGATCCCCAGGAGAAATAAAGATAAAAAGCCTTTTAAAAAAATCAAACTAATGCAGCCACCACTTCTGAGGACATTTTTGCATTTGGGGTTAGATGCAGTGGTGGAATTACCGCCAGTGCAAGCGGTGCCGGGGCACCGGGGCCTGAGGCTGTGGGGGGGCCCAGTGGGGTCTGGTCCTGGGCACCCCCACAGTCTCAGCACGGTCCAGTCCTGAAATATATGGCAGTGCACGGTCCCGGTGTTCGAACACCGGGGCCCCGCACTGCCGATGGGCTTCACAGTGAGGGGCGGGTCCTGTGACTCGCCTCCCCTCCCGGCCGCGTTCATAGTAACGGGCGGCGGGAGGGGAGGTGAGTCACAGGAGGCGTGTGTCACAAGCCCCGCCCCCCTGCAGTGCACACATCGAAACTCCCTGGCTGGGTAAGTCTGGGGGGGGGGACAGCCCACCCAACATTGGTGCTAGTAGACGCAAGAATAATGCACACACCACTCCAAGTCCAGCCCCAAATATCAGCCCACCTGGAGTGGGCTATACAGGATCTATGGTGTGCTCTGCAGGGTCTCAGGTAAGCCCAGCATGCTACTGCAACATTAGAGACCGCTGGGGGTGGGAGCAGGGGCCAGTGTGATCCACTCCCGCGCATCCTCCCCCGTCTTGGGAGGGGGGCCCAAGATAAAATCTTGCACCAGGGCCCTTTGGTTATTAGTTCCGCCACTGGTTAGATACACTTTAAGTAGCATTAAAAAAGGAAGTAAAGATTGTAAACATGAAGAAAACCCAGCTGACACCAACAGCTCCAGCCTTGACTTTTTTTCTTTTGAGAGATAATTCCTCACTTCCTGTCCTGGTGACCATCTGTCTTAAGGTGCACATACACCTTACAATTATCTGCAGATTTTCTGTGGTCAGATGGAAAAAATGCAACAGATTGGCCCAGGTGGGAGGTTACTCCATCCACACAGTTAAGTGTAGATGGAGGAATCTGTTGCACCTTTTCCATCTGACCAGTGGCATATCTATGTTTTTGGCTGCCCTAGGCAAGCCAAGCTTCGGCCGCCCCCGGCACCTTACTATCACCCCTCCCCCCCAGGAAGGTGCCGCCCTAGACAAACGCCTAGTTTGCCTCGTGGTAAATACGCCCCTGCATCTGGCCACAGAAACTCTGCAGATAATTGTAAGGTGTGTGGCCATCTATAGACTCAGGCTGAGAAATATCCACACCTGTTTGAGAAGCTGGAATATAACGCACCTTTGTTTGGGCTCAAAAGTTTTTCCGCTTCCTCCTTGTGCCAATTTGACTTGTCATGGTCACAGTCTTGTCGTCCATCTCTCTCCTCCTCCCCTATTGTATCTGTGCTGTAGTTGGATGCTCTCTCAGCAGCTGCAAATTCATCAATTAAGAACATCACTTTTTTTTGTACAAGAATATTCCACCTCATATCACGTTTTTTTCAAACAATGCAGCAAAGTGAAAAATACCATATTGTGATGCAGTTTATATGTGAAGCTGTCGGTGAAGCCCACCAGGAGTCTGTTTGTTGTTGTTGCATGCAGATTTGGTAACGAGCCTAGCCAACTCTGATCAACATTGCTTCCTGACCTCTTCCACCATGATATCATGAGATGCTCTAAAGAAAGGTCCTCCCCCTGGGTTCTCGTCTCTGAGACTTTACATCAAACTGTTTAGAATATCTTTACTGTCTTTGCAGAAGTTGATTAACCCCTTAGTGACCAGTGACGTCCATAGTCCAACACTGGCACCGCGCCCGGTTAAGCAGACCCCCGGCAGCTACTGTTTACATTTGTAAAGCTGACTCTTGGCTTTACAATAGAAGCGATTCTGGTGGCTCTGGAGTTATAAAGTCTGCGCTTATGGGTAATATTTAATATTATCAAAAAAGCTGCTGCTATATGGACACTAAGGTCAAGAATGGTTAAAATGATGAGTGTGCAGCGCTAAGGGTCAATAATAACAAACTAAAAGTGATAATAAACTAAGATTTCCAGTGTATTAATGTCTCAGTGAACAATCTATACAAGAAGGCCCAATACCTATGCAATAAGGTCTGTGTGCAACAGATATTTATGTGACCTCTCTGTCACATGTGAATCATTGTTTTCCTGACAATTGTGCCAATAATTTATAAGATTCTGGTGGCTCAGCTGTTGCCAGATCGCTTCTCCGGGCCAGTAAACGGGCTGCAGCTTCCTATGAAAATGACGATCGTGATATACATTTTGGGTATCGCCACGCACACCGGAGTGAACGCAATCATTCTAAGGCCAATGTTTACGTGCATCTCTAAACTGATGACCTGTGGGGGCCTTTAAACCATTGTCTATGGACTTTTTGGGGAACTGAATTTTGTTGCAGTTTCACAGACGCACACAATTTTTAACCTGGGCATGTTGGGTATCTATTTACTCGTTGTCCCCTCATCATTTTATATTATATTTAAAAATAGGTATTTTATTGTGTTTTGGGGCACTAAATTTAACTTAAGTGCATTTTTCACTAAATTTGTGGGTTTGATAATAAGGTGCATTGATATTGTGCAACATAAAAATTTGCAACTGCTGTCATTTTATTTTACAGGGTCTTGGCTTTAAGAAAATATATAATGTGTGGGGGTTTTAAGTAATTTTCAGGCCTAAAATGTGGATTATAACATGGGTGCAAAATACTAAAAAAAGGCTTCAGTCATGAGGGGGTTAAGGGAAACCTGGTGAGAAAAATATAGGCGGCACCATTGCTGACGGCATTCTAAGAGCACTAGTTGCCTGGTTGGCTCTGTGCTCAATGCTGTTTGAGTCACTGAACAGAGACAAGCATGCAGTAGGCAAATGAATACTCTGTCAGTGCAGGTTTCCTTTAGGCTGAGGTGGCAGATCTCTGACTATCCACCAGAAACATAAACGTTTCAGAAGGTGGGAAAGGAAGGGGAGCAAAACCCTGAAACCTCTCTCAAAATGTTAAAGAAGGGATTGGCTATATCTTCAAAAAATAAGGAAAACACGTTTTAAACTGAAATTCCCACTAGTGTTCTATTTCAGATTAATGATTATTTTATTTGAAGCAACATTAATGTTTGTATGTTACCTTTCCTCCGGTGTTTCCGCTTCCACAAAATGATTCCAATGATTACAGCTGCAATTATCGGCCCAGCCGGAACAACAATACAGAGAATGAACACAAGAGATGATGACTCTAGACAAAATAAAAGACAATCATACAGTAAGTAAAGATTTAAGATGGTGGGGGGTGTTAATAGCACATACATGGGGGATTTCCATAATGAAATATAGTAGACCTGATGTGATGATTGTTCATACCTTGATAGCTGAGCTGGAAGTCCTCCTGTAGAGGTTCTTGTAGAGATACGTGCTGGACTCTGCAGGAGAAAGTTTTGTTCTGGTCATCATCGATTGGTGTGATTGTCACAGTGCTGTTCACTTGGAAGGTTCCATTGTCATTTTTGTGTGGCTTTCCCATGAGCGGATCCTTCAGAACTTCTCCATCTTTATACCACGTTACAACAATATCACTTGGGAAGAATCCAGAGACCATACAGGTCAGGGTGTTCTCTATATTTCTGTGGACCCTCTTGCTAGGTATGAAGATGAGAGGTCGGGCTGTAGCAGACAGAAGGAGAGTTCATTAGGTTTTACAAAAGAACATTTTGATCCTCAAAAAGTTGAGAGAATTAATTTGTGAGCAATAGGGATGAGGAACATTAAACCTGATTCAGGAAGCATTCCATTGCAGTTTTAAAGTAAGTGGTCTACACTTACCTGAATTGCAATCTTTGCTCAATACAAAAATGCAATGCAATGCAAAAACTCAGCTCTTCCTGCTCTTTAACCAACCAGACCATGATTCCCCGCTTTGCATCTTTTCAGTTGAAGCCCTATAGAAGTCTATGGGGATTTCCTGAATGCTCAGAGCAGAGAGCAGGAAAAATGAGCATAAGAATAGTGGGTGAAGAGCGGGGAGCTCCAAGATTACACAGCAATGTATGTAGTGAAAGATGTTACCCAGGCACAATAAATTTACTGATTACCCGTACGTCCTTCAAAACAGCTAAGACAATTCATCAAGTTATTTTATAAAGCCCAACTGAAGTCTCAGAAATACATGTGCAGTCAGATTGACATTGCACTAACAGCCTGTTATCACTGAAGTGACCTTCCCTATCCTGTTATAGCAGTTGCACTGTGTTATTAGATATTATTATTATACAGGATTTATATAGCGCCAACAGTTTGCGCAGCGTTTCACAATATTAGGAAGACATGACAATCACAATACAATTCAAGACAAGATGGTAAGGAGGACCCTGCCCGTGAGGGCTTACAATCTAAAAAAGAGGGGGAAGTGATACATGAGGAGGTGGCTGTGTGGGGATGAATTGTTTGAGAACATGATGGTTGAGTTGTTAGGTTGAGGTGGGATAGGCTTCCCTGAATAGATGAGTCTTAAGGGATCGCCTAAAGGTAGTCAGAGTGGGAGATAGTTGGACAGGTTGGGGTAAAGAGTTCCACAGAATGGGGGAGACTCTAGTGAAATCCTGGAGGCGAGCATGGGAGGAGTTGACAAGGGAGCTAGAGAGCAGGAAGTCTTAAGAGGAGCGTAGGGGACGGTTAGGGTGATACTTAGGGGTCTATTCACAAAGCAGCCGAAGGATCTAGCCGTAGCTTCGGCCAATCCTTCGGCTAGCTTTGGCCCCAGGACCCCTTCGGTTCTGTAGAACCGAAGGGCTGCTGTACGGGCTATTCACAATAGACCATACAGCTCCTGAACTTAGCCGAACGGCTCAGTCGAGCCGAAGGCATATGCCTCGGCTCGGCTGAGCCGCGCTGAAAGCCGAAGCTGGCCAAGAGTCCGGCCATTGGCCGGCCGACAGCCTGCTTCTGACAGCTGGGCGGAGCCAGCCGTGATCTTACGGCTGGCTCCGGCCACTTGCAGGGAGATCAGCGTCCCTGGTTACCAGCTAACCAGGGACACTGATCTCCAGACAGCAAACTCTCCCGGGCGCTCCGGGAGTCTCCCGGTCCCTGCCGCCCAGGAGAGAAACACTGCTTTTTCTTTCGTGTCAGAATAGAAAAAAAATAAATAATTTTTTTGCCCATAGGAATGCATTGCTAGATTCCTATTGGCTATTTCAATTTGCAATAGCCAATAGTAAACTAGCATTGCACCCGCCCTCTGCTGCATTTCTCCATCAGGTCCATCAGCAAAGGGTGGGTACAATGCTAGTTTACTATTGGTAAATTCAACAATTCCAGATGTTGGATCGGCTGAGTCAAACTCCTCCTGCACTGCTGAGCATGTTCGGCCGACCTGAAGCCTCCCGATATATGGCTGAAATCAGCCGTACCAGCCTGAAGTGAATAGCCGAGACGAGAGATAACAAGGGAGTGGATAAGCAGCTTTGTGGTTTCAATGGTGAGGAAGGGGCGTATTTTAGAGATGTTACGAAGGTGAAGGCGGCAGGATTTGGATAGTGATTGATTGGATAGATATGACTATGCAGTCTAATAGGACACCAGAGTTTGACTGTGCTGCCCAATGATTACATCTTACATGGTAATCTGATGGAACTGGTCAGGCATGCCCTCTCATATTGACTGAAATCATCAAACCTTGAGAAACAGATTACAAGCATGAATAGGGATGGAGTGAAAAAAAGGTGGTGCCTAGTTAAAATTATTGATTACAAACTGCAGGTAAAAGCTGTAAAATGATAGATAAAAACATTGGTGGAATAATAATTAATCTACGTTCTCAAGAAGAATATTGAGTGTTTTTACCTGAATACACCAGCCGGAAGTCCTCCTGGAGAGGTGCAGTAAGAGACTCATGTTGGACTCTACAGGAGAAGGTCCGCTCTCTGTCCTCCTCAGTGGGTGTTATTATTACTGAGCTCTTCACTCTGTATGTTCCATCCGGGTCTCTCTGAAGTTCTTCCACTGCAACGTTATTCAATATCTCTCCATCTCGGAGCCATTTAATATCAATCTTTGCCGGGTAGAATCCAGAAATTGTACTGTTCAAGCTGCTCTTGGTGCTCATAGTGACAACTTTGTTAACCATTGTAATAGTTGGTATTGCTGTTAAATAATAAAAGAAACAGTAAGTCTAGACTGTAATATGAAAATCAAATGAACACAACTATATGTATTTATGTTCGGGACAAAAACACATCCCATGTATGGCATAAATTACAATTCTGTACTATTTTTTGTCACCTGCAAACCCTTGAGACAAAACAACTCCAATGATCTTGTTTTTCTGACTTCTAAGAAGATATTTTCATTACATTATATGTTTTTAAACTTTTTTCTTAGTTTTGGATGGCGTGGGAAAGGGATAGAATCTCTGTCGGGTTTGTATTGCTGCAAGTCTCCACTGGGGAGATGTGCCCTCTCTGTATTTACTGGTGACCATTGACTGAAAATTTGGGAAAACCCAACATTTTCAGTTGCCACTGAAGCAGGAGCATAACTCCCAAGTTTCCAAGATGAGAAAGAAGGACACCTTCCAGCACAAATGTGTCTAGGTAAAGGACAAACACCCTGCTACACCTCCAGCTCCCTGGCCCATGAGTAATTAATATGCAAGAAAACTGAATATCTGGGATTTCTTCTAAAATGGATGGGTTATGCAGCTACCATTAGGTGATTGGACACTGGCAAATCAATAAGAGCTGTAGGACAATCATGTATAAGCCCTCCCACTCTCAGCCTGCCTCGGTTTTGTAGCAAGAAGTACATAACGGATCATGTAAACCAGGATACAGGGAGTTCTTTTCTTTAAACGATGGATGTCCAAAAACAGTCCAACAGATTGGTGGGCAATACAGCAAACAAAGCTGATGGAAGATTAAAACAACCACTAAAACCAATATATTGCCATACCAGATTAGGGTTGCCACCTTTTCTTCCAGCGAAACCCTAACACTCTAGCGACGCACGGAAATTTTTTAGGGAGAATGAGTCGCGCCTTATTCAGATGTAAATAGCTCCACCCATTCATATCTAAATATCACAGTTGAGACTATTTTTCAATGGGGGGCCAGTAGCCCCTATCTTAATTTTGGTTGCCCCTGTCTGCCTGACATCATGGGTCTGGGTTTCAGCTGCCATGAAACCCGGACACAGCATTCAAAACCCGGACTGTCCGGGTGAATCCTGGACAGGTGGCAACCCTATACCAGATGGAACCCACATATCAGAGGGTTGCGTGCAGAACCTTGTGGCTGAAGCTAGAATCCTGCTGGCCTTAAGGTCTACCTGGTAAAACTTTGCAAAAGTGTGAACAGAGGACCAGGGGGAAGCTTTGCAGATTTGGGAAACCAAAGCTTGAAATTGGAAGGCCTAAGAACTACTAACATTTTTCGAAAGAATACTCCCTAACCAGAAACGGGGGAACTTTACCTTCCAACTCATAGGCCTGAGTGATAGTTTGCTGAATCCACCTAGCGATAATGGAATGAGAAGGTGCTGCTCCATACGCAGACCTTCAGGACTAATGAAGAGGGAGTCAGACTTGTGGATATAGAAGTTGTGGCAGAGATGTAAAAACAAACTACATGAAAACAGTGTAGAGAAACTTCTTTAGGATGCTTTGGTTCAGGACATACAAATGATAAAATTATATCCTGGATGAGGTGGAAGGCAGAGACCATCTTAGGAAGAAAGGAAGCCTTACTCCTCGGTACAACCTTGTCCTTCTGGATAACTAGAAAAGGCTCTTTACATGTTAAGGTCGTCAACTCAGAAACACACCTGGGTGAAGTGATGGAGAAGTCTATGGGGATTTCCTGACTGCTCACTGCAGAGAGCAAGAACAATGAGCATTAGAGCAGTGTGTGAACAATTGGGAAATACAAGATTAGTCAGCAGTGTATCTAGTAGATGCTACACAGGCAAGTTTGGCTTCAGATATACTTTAGGCTATTTATCTTGTAGTGGAAGTATGGTATGATAGGCCTAATTTATCAAATTACTCTGCGGAACAATTGACTGTCAGGCCACCAGATTTCTCCACAGCAGCCAGTCATATTCTGTCTTTACAATGTTGGAAAGAAAAGAGAAATCAGAATGGTCTCTGTGGCACAATACACAGTGACAGTTCTTCTCAGATAGCCTGAGATACTTTCATTAAAGTGAACCTCCCCCTTTACAAACTGCCATGGTATACATGTTAAAAAGAAAAACATACCTGTGAAAAAGTTGGGAAAGGTGTGTGTGTGTGGGGGGGACATTCCAGCAAAGTCCTGGGAACCCTGAGTGTCCCACATCTCACGTGGAGACATGCCAGCAGAGGGCCTTCTTGTGAGATTTAGGAGAATGATAATGTCACATGTGTCTAGGCACTGCGGATAGAAGCCGGAGGTAAACTATGAATATTTTCTACTTTTTCCACACAGATTGTATAGGTATTATGCTTGTAAAGGCGGGAGAAGGGACTTTAGAGGCAAGATCTCCTTTAAAGCAGGCCTTCGGTGAAAATAAAATAACGAAGTTACAAAATCGATGCAAAAATACTCACTGTGGTCCCAGCTTATGAGAGAATGCCCCCCAGTCCATTGCATGAGTACATTTTCACAGGATTGCAAGCGCCCATGAGGCAGCACTGAGGAGCAGTGATCACGCTTAGGATCTTCTAGCTTTTATTTTTTCATATTTGTTTATCTTTTTTTATATAACCTCTTCATTTTCTAAGGATTTTTTTTGCATCTTATTTTGTTTGGGCGGCAGGGAGCTGGCAGGAAATCGGGCCCTTTATTTGCACGAAAGGTTTATTTTAGGTATGAGGAGAAAATATAATTGCTGCGAGGGTAGAGAAAATCAATCTGACAGAAATCATTATTAGCTCTCTAAGCAAGGGGCAGAATATAAAAGTTCCCATTAAAAAAAACATCAAATCTAAATTTCTGTACCTGTAATGTCCACTCTGATCTTCTTCTCCATTCGGAGCGGACTGTAGGTCACAGAACATGTGTAATCTCCACCGTCTGATACAGATGTGTTAGATATGGTCAGATCAGCATTTCCATTTAATGCTCGATCTTCTTCCAGTGAATATCTGGGGTCAGGTGATGTTACGGTATTATCAAAGGTTAGGATAATCTTTCCTTCTAAATACCAAACAACTGCAAAAAACTTGGTCTCTGCAGGAAGTTTATCTGCTGTGAATGTGCAGGGAATGTGAGCAATAGACCCAACTCTGACCGTATAGGTAGAAGGTCCCGTCATCTGTAGTGCAGCAGCTGCATGAGAAGAAAATAAATCAAGTTTACTAAATACACACAAATTCTGATTTACTCAGACATAACAGTAACCTAAGATGAGGTGAACCTGTGTTAGGGATATTTCTTTACATGACTAGATACTGTATATGGCACAAACACAGATTTACTTCATCTTAAATTCAACTTTAAATTAAGCCAAATGATGCCAGTCTGCAGCAATCTATTTTTTCTATCCCTTCCCCTGTATGCTATACAGCTTTCTTTTTGTAGCCCTGGACGGTGGCCCCTTTACTGCAGAGCCGAACACCCCTGGCATTCTTGTGACTGCACTGCAACTCATCTCTCTTTCTTCTGTCGCTTCATTGGACTGTGCAGTAGGAGGGTACAGAGAGTGACAGAAGGAGGACTTTGATTGGCCACAGCCATGGCCGGGATGGAATGCCGCCCACCAGACCTGAAGAGCAGATTGCAAAGCAGACTGTACTGTGTGCAGAGCAGGCAGTGTAAGGGGTGAAGGAGTGCAACACAGGAGGAATTGTGAGAAAGTGTGGCTGTGCTAAGAGGGAGGATGGTTCTAGGATATTGAGATGGAGGCCTACGTGTACACCAGATACAGGCACAGGTATGAGAGGGCAGGACCAAAGCATTGTGAGTTACCTCTTGCCTGGCTCCCAGGGACGTGTGAGCAGTGTGGAGGCATGACAAGAGTATATTAGAGGGATACCGTTCTTACCTGCAACACCATTGCTTACCGTGGCCTGCCCCCCCCCCCCCCCCAATCCAGCCCAAACTACTTGCTCGACCCTTGAGCACCACTTAAATGGACACCCACACCTGTGATGGGTCCCCAAAAACATTTTTTCATAAAAAACTGTGGCATCCCTGCTACCTTCAAGGACCCCAAACCGCCCACGACTGCCGTGACGAAGCCAACTAGACCTAGACAGAAATAAAAAAAAAACACTAATTCGGAAATTAACAGACATTCCATCCTTGGGGCGGGCGGGCAGGAATTACCTTCTACTGTTGAAGCTTCCTCAAACTGGCCTCTTCCTGCCTCATCCCCAGGATCTCCACCCATGGAAATCCCACCCTCTCCCACTAGTCTCCAATCAGGTAAGAGACCACTCCTTCCCTGTTTCTACTTCCTTTACTTCCATTTTAACCCCTTATCTGCCTGTCTCCCCTTCTCCCCCTGTCATGCTGTCCCTCCGCACAATTCCCTTTCTTCCTTGTGCTCCATGACTTTCTTTCAGGGGAGAAAAGGCCTTTGCTTAATCTGACATCACCCACCCTGTTGGGACAGAGTTCTTGAGACTGCTGTCAGGACATCCATTCAGCATTAGAGTGGTGAGGGGCCTCTGGCTGCCCTTATGTGTATTAAGCTTGTGTGCGGTTGCAGAAATGTTGCTTCTGCCAGCAAAGGTCAGAGTTTCACCTGAGAGGACTTTAATGCCCTTTCCCTTTCTTGTGGATTACAAGTACTCTAACTTTGAGGGTGAGTGCTCCAACATGGGATCAAGGGCCCCACCCTCAGTAGACTTGTTCTATTATTCCACAGTGCAATGGTTACACAGGACTTGAAGAGTGTACTCGGGCAGAATTTTCACCTACATTATTCTATGTTATCAGGGTATTCACCTTTTCACCCGCCTAGTGCGTTCTGGCAGGGCAGTTTTTCAGGAGATGTAATAGTTTCAACGTTTGAAATCACTTTAATCTTGTGATTGTTACAAATGTTTACGCAGCACTTCCCTTACGGGGCTTATTCCTGCTTAAACAAAGCCCTTCCTTGTCACTACAAATGGGCTTTTGGGCTTTGGGCCACCTATGGGAACAGCAGGAGGTCCCAACATTCCAGCTGCTCCTTCGGTAGTCAGTGTTACATTCTATTTTTCTAACATTTATCTTTTGTTTTCTACCTTAAAAATTAAAAGAAAGAAAGAGGTCACATGACTATCCTTGGTCTTTTCATCTTAGTTAGGACATTTACCACTGTGTACTTTGAATATGTGTGCCACTGGTAGTGGAGACAGACTGTCTTTATATCCCTCACTATACAGCATGATAAGAGGTCACATTGTCATTCTTGGTCGTTTCATCTTGCTCTGTACTGGCCTGTGAGAAGTTGTCTCCAGGTCACACGGTTCTGGATGCATTTTATTCAGAGACAGAGACATGTGTGAAATTGCACAATTACCCATCTTAATATCTCGGCTGGTTCCTGGTGCATGGTTACATATACACTGAGTGGCCAGATTATTATGACCACCCCATCAGTACTTCGTTGGGCCGCCTCGTGACTCCACGAGATGATGAAAGGTGATGCGAGGAATCTGACACTGCACTGTTGCCCTTCTGTTGTCTTGTACCAGTCTTGCCACTCTCCGTTCTGCCCTAACATTGACTAGTCGCTGACGGCCACAATTCGCACGTTCAGACCCAGATTTTCGGCTGATAGTCCGGTCTTTAAACACTTTAACAATGAGCCCCTCTTGAACATTTAACGAATTCTGCTGTTTTGCTGATACTCGCTCCATGGCTCCGAGCGCCAACAATCATCCCACGTTCAAAGACTGTTACATCGCGTTGTTTCCCCGTATCTTCAGAAACAAATCACTTCTACTGTCGTGGTAAACAACCTGCTTCCCTGTGTATAATGGTCTGGCCCTCTAGCAACTTCAGCGCCAAATTATAGCTAATTTGCCTACAAACGTCAGGTGGTCATAATAATCTGGCCACTCAGTGTATACTGTTTATTCATAAATGTTCTCTGTGTACCAGGGAATGAGGAGCTTAGTTCCCCATGGCACACAGGTTTCTGTTGCAGTTAGGACCATACTGTGTACTTTGGATACATGTCCCACTGGTAGTGGAGACAGACTCTGTTTATATCCATCACTATACAGCACGATAAGAGGTTACATGACCATCCGTGGTCTTTTCATTTTGCTCTAAACTGGCTTGTGGGAACAGTCAGGTCGAGGCAGCACATCCAGGGCCGGATTTACTCTCTCTGCTGCCCCAAGGCCAGGTTTCCCAATGCGCCCCCTTACCCGCCAACCCCCCCCCATGGAGAATGGCAGACCTGCAGGCTGCATACAAGTGATCTCGGCGACATTGCCGTGATCGCTTGTACAAAACAAGCAGCGGCTTCCCCACTGTACATTGAGCTCTGCTTGCCCAAGCAGGGATAAATGTAGAAAACAACTACCCGCTCGGCGCCCGACACTACATGTCCCGGGCAACGGGGGATAGGAATTCCACACCCCTGCTACCCCTCTACTCCCTGCTGCCCCAAGGCCGGGCCTTGGTTGGCCTTGTGGCCTTGTGGAAAAATCCGTCCCTGAGCACATCACAGCGACTTCTTTACAGGTTTGCAATTGCTAATGTGAGCATTTGATTCTTGTGCAGTAAATGCAAATGTCATCTGATGACATTGTTGTGACTTGGAAGGGATCTAGTCACCATTTTTTCCTTTCTAAAAATGTTTAAGTCTATCATATAAAGTATTGTATCAAAAGAAATTCCGCCAAAAACATTATTAAAGTGACAACCCTACGCTCCCATGATAGACTACACTCTCAATACAGATTAGTAAACTAAACATGAGATTGTAGAGCAGGGGTAGCCAAACTCCGGCCCTGAAACTACAAATCCCATGATGCATCTCTCTCCGGGAGTCATGTCTGTGGCAGGGAGAACCTTGCAATGCCTCATGGGATTTGTAGTTCCACCACAGCTGGAGGGCCAGAGTTTGGCTAACCCTGTTGTAGAGGGATGTACTGTATATAGGTATAGGGTGCGGGGACTCAAGTGGTTAACTACGAAGCAAGGCTGGCCATAACAAGCCGGTTTACATTTCATTAAATAAAGGAAACAAAAGCAATGAGAGCGACTGACCTGTAGAACACAGAAGACGGAAAAGAAGATCAAGAAGAACAAGATTTCCATACATTGTGTTGTTTGTTTGTTCGGTGAGGTGGAGACCGCCGTGCCCCACTCTTGAAACGTTTGATGCACAGTCATCCCATGAATATGGACCTTGGACAATATTCAGGAGTATCGAGGACTGTGTTCTGCCAGAGATAAACTTTCACTTTCTGTTTCTTTAAATACCGAATTACTACAGCGTATCGTCTAATCCATGACTGTTGAAATGATGATAGTGAAGTATTTCCCGCAGGCTGTATTTCAATGAAATCCTTGTTTCCAAGCAAAAGGAAATCTTCAGATATAGTAAACCTGTTCCCTCCTGCTCGTGTTGTCTTTTGGGAAGGGTAGGGATCTGTGTACAGGTGCACTCTTTAGACAATTTTAACTCAAAAGCAGGAAGATTGTTGTAAAAAGATCAGTCAGTCTGCTGATGTATGTTAAAGTGACATTAAAGTCAAAAAATGTTTTCCCCTCCCCCCATGTAAATGTTAGCACTTACCTTCAGGACCCATTCACACTGAGCGACATGAAAATCGCGTGATTTTCTGCGCGATTTTAGATGTGCGATATTGCGCGACTTGTCTCGTGACTTTTTCCTATTGGGCTGTATGCAATCAGGAGCAAAATCGCTCGAAATCCGCAGAAAAAAGGGTCATGTAGGAGCGACAAGCTACAGCGACGAGCTACAAGCGATATTGAGTGTCGAGATGTGAACAGCTCCATTGAAATGGATTGGAGAAGCTACATAGAGCGATATCGTGTGGAAATATGAGCGATATCGCTGCAGAAATCGCTCGATAAATCGCTCAGTGTGAATGGGGCCTAAATGATGTCTCTTATTCCGATCTTCCTCTTCTTTCCCCATGGTTTCATGTGTCCCTCCTCTGTCCTTCCGATCCAGCGGTGTCTGCATGCGGGTGCACGCGTCCATAGACTTACCTTGTGTCTCTGCTCGTCTCCTGGCCAAGAATTGGAACTGCGCATGCGCCAGCTCCAAGATCCTTTGCGGCCGTACGATCACTTCCTAATTCTCGGCGCGGGAGCGAGCAGCGATAACGAGGTAAGTTTAAAACTAGTTAAAGCTGTTTTTTGTTTTTTTTACACTTCTTGCCTATATGTACTGCTTGCTAGCAGTAGATATAGGCAAAAAACCGGAGGGTTTAGAACCCCTTTAACCATTCACTTTCACCTTCATTCAGTTTATGACTTTAACCACTTGCTGTCGGGAGCAATTTCTAACTTTATGCACACACATAATAAAATCTGAATTTTGGCTAGAAAACAGCTTCAAATCCCCAACAATGAGATATTTTCTGAAAGCTGAGGACCTGTAGAATAAAAACAAAAATGCTAGTTGCAATTTTTTATGTTGCACGGTATTTGCGCAAATGTTTATCAAACCGGCATTTTTAGAATAAATACACTAAAATGAAATTTAATGCACAGAAACAGAATATAATACCCAATTTTGTGGTAAAATACAAAATATGGGGTCACGTTGGGTAAATAAACACCAAACATGTCGAGCCTGAAAACTGTGAAACCGCAAAAAACTACAATACCCTAAATTTTCCAAGGGCGACGTTAAAAAGCTTTTACTGCTCATCAGTTTAGTGTTACCAGTGATTGATGGCCCTGAAATGATTGCTCGCACTCTGTCGTTCGCGGCGATATGTAACGTGTGGTGCAATTTTCGTTTTTGCGTTGTATGTGCATGCATATGGGTGGCGGGGAGAGACAGCCAGGGGAGAGAGTGCGAGGAGAGACAGCCAGGGTAGAGAGAGTGAGAAGAGACAGCCAGGGGAGGGAGTGAGGAAAGTCAACCAGGAGAGAGAGCGAGGAGAGATAGCGAGGAGAGAGAATGAGAAGAAACAGCCAGGGGATAGAGAGAGCGAGGAGAGATAGCCAGGGGAGAGAGAGAGAGCGAGGAGAGATAGCCAGGGGAGAGAGAGGGAGCGAGGAGAGATAGCCAGGGGAGAGAGAGACAAGACAGCCAGGAGAGAGAGTGAGGAGAGATAGCGATGAGAGGGAATGACGGGTGTTAATGAGGAATGGCATCTTGTGTCTCTGATTCAGGGCCATACACTGGAGACATTGATAAATGAGCCAAAGCACAAAGTGTCTGAAAAAGTCACAAATTGTTTG